AATCTTCAACACAGGCAAGGTTCATTATTCAGCCATTCAATAAATCAGCTAATTCAGTTTCCAAACTCTGCTCACTTTTCTCGCTTAAACAGCGTTGATTAAGTCTCATTCATGTTCAGACGCTTACCACTTAAAATTTACACTAAGTACGAACGGACAGTAATCATGCAAAAAAACCTTAAAATAACCGGTTAGTTAAACTGAACTGTCGCAACCTAATTTCGTTTAAAGCAGCCCAAAATGTTGATTACAGATCCTAATCTGCCTGAAATGTCAAATTTTAAGGAAAATTTACAGTATAGAGATTTAAGTCTTGCAGTAAGTCAGTTTTCTCCCTTTGTTTTAAAAATTAAAAGAATTTTCCCTTTAAGTCGATTATCTCCGGAACTAATGGAAAAATTTTAGCATTAGACCTTTATGCATGAGCGTGCATAAAGGTCATCCATGCTAGAAGATATAAAACAAAGTTTGCAAGATCGAACAAAAAAGGATGCTACGAGAGGGTATGAGCTCTTGCAACTTGACTTCATACTTGAAAGGAAATAATTTATGAGTGCCTGTATTACGATTAGTGGAATATATCAAATAGCTGGCAATACCTGATCAAATGTCCTTCATTTTAAATGATAGACTAATAATAATTAATGGCTGAAAAACAATAGCGTTCTGACTATTGAACTATACTTTTATAGTGATTGTATATCTCATAAGTTTTCGAACATTTTTTGATTCAGTGTTCCATTTTGGAAGTTCGCCTTCTTGCACACAACATTTAAGTGTTTATTGCATTTGTACTGCATCAAATTATTAATTAAAGTAACGCTGAACAAAATAGTAACAATTAAAAACTTCTCAAAACATTTACAGTAATATACAGGACAAAAAAATGAGAATCCTGCCACAGCACGCGCAATGGTATATAAGTGGACCTTTCTCCTTGTCTACAACGGATTTTAAAAACACAAATACGTTTATTTGTCGTCATATTACCAGAATATTAGACCGACAAGGAGATCCAAGGTAACTTCGTTCTTTTAGATTAAGAAAATGAGACTACGTGCAATTTGGACCAACACGTATGAAAAGTAAACTGTAATCGCTTAGTATGATTCTTGAAGTTTTACGTGACTGTAATATTTGTACAAATTAGTAAATATTTAGATGTTCAGTTCGAAATATGTTTTACGAAATCAAATTTTCTAAGCGTGTTCTTATTGCCGACTTGCAGCTGGATGCCTCTAGGACTAACAATGTTCCTAATAATCTCCTCAGTCCCCTTCGATGGGCAATAATGCCTAGGCTTGGAAACTATAGTACAGCTTCTTGCCTAAGCCATATTCTTAATTTTGTGTCAAATAGGCTGCTATAGCTAACTTATACTTCAGAGTAAGCAAGTTATTTCCTTTCGTGTTGCTTATAGTTAGGTATGAAAATAAACACAAGCCATCTTAAATTCCACAAGCCCTCTATGCAAAAATTAAGCTACAACGTTTATTTAATTACTTATGAGCGGGGTGCGGCCAAAGCAAAATTTATAATTTCCATGTAAACCTGGAAAGAAAATGCATAAAATCATTTCAGTATGAATGAAATCAGTTCAGTCTTTCCAAGCAACAACCAGTTCGAAAATAATTATTTTGTTGCCAAATCAGGAAACAAAACCTTTCAGGTTAATACGCATTCGTATGATATCATGATTTAAATTTAATTTAATGTAATGTAAAAGCTTTTTCTCAATATCTATGAAAGAATTAGCCTGACCATAACATATCGTATCACTTATCCTAACCTGAAACAAAAAAGTTGCCAAAAGCAACTATTTATTTAAAATGCTGACATTAACGAAACGTTTTCCATATACAATGACGTCACATGCAATCGCGTGCTTACTTCAACGTCAGAGTATGTCCTTAATAATATGTTTAATGTTTCGCAATCCTATTTTTATTTACAAAAGTTTACAAACTTATAAGTTTTTTATTTGGAAATTCTACAATTTGAAAGTGAGCAGTGGCAACACTTTTCGAAATAAAGCAATTTTATCTCCAGCGCGCAAGATGTTACCACTCGGAAAAATAAGTGCGAAAATTAGAGTTTTCAATTAATACCTCGGTTGATTAAAGTCGGAACGAAGACTGAATTAAGCATACGAAGACGAGAATGGTCGAAATGGCTTCCCACGAATTTTTGGAATTTGGAGGTACCTCTTTCGAAACTCAATTTCCCTCCGTTCCGGAGGAAATGTTGTCGCAAACAGACAGACAGACGTGCACAGGTTTTAACAATGTAGATAACTTAACGATACAAATTAACGTTTAACATAAAATTGCTCCTGATCGACAATAATCAACGCAGATAAATCTAACTAGACTAGAATTTATATAATAAAACGCTGCTTAAATATGAGCTGAGTCTGTTAGTAGTCTTATCTAGCCGTCTGTTATTCTAGAAACTACCTCAACAAGATATTTATTACTAATTATCTGCTATTCTCCATTCGGTCATTTGAACTCCGTTCATCAGCAGTTCGGAAACAAAAATCAGTTTTGTTAAGCAGCATTCAGAAAATTCTGATCAGTCTTATCTACAATTTACCTTATTTTCCTATCTTATTTCACCCTTATTTCGTAACTAGTTAACTTATTCTTTCGGATAGAAAAGTTCGTGCATATGAAACCAGAAGAGACTGAAAATATTAATGTGCAAAAGCTTGTTATTCATTTAAAATAACCATTAAACAATTTATCTCTAGTACACAGAATAAAATTAAAAATCTGATGTGTATACCACATGACTTCCTTGTACGGAATATTAAATTATACGAAATTTTTCTGCATTTCATTTAAACATATTGAATTAACAGTTAACGAATTTTAAATTAAATCTACTTCGTGGATAGCGCATAAACCACAATGCAATAATTGCACTCTTTAAAGTTCACTATATTTATTTATCATAGCGACACTTTGGCGCTAGGTTCACTTAACTGCGTAACATCTCATTCATTTTGTAACCCAGAGTGCACAAAAATTATATCAACTGAAGAATTACAACAAGTTCTATTCAAATACTGTAATAAATCAAAAACCATGTATAAAAGAAATTAAACAAGAACGAGTTTTTCGCAGAGAATTCAGCGCCGCTTACCTAATGCGCACGCGCTACTAATTAATTTAGTTCTCACTTCGCGGCAAGGGAAAAATACATAAAAATTCAAAATATTTTCATTAAAATTTGAAAGATATATAAAAACATAAAACAGCAAGTATAGTTAAAACAATTAAAAAAAATTACAATTAAAATTGCAGTTTCAATGCAAAAACAAGCTAATAATTCAAATGATAATTCCAGAATGAATTAAGCATAATTTCTTTCGCAATAATAAAAGAAAACGTTACTTTGTTGTTGCGAAGCTTAGTTTCTCTATATTGGCAACAAATCAGCTATTCTGCTAAGTTTCAAATGTAAACAAACATGACTGCCCTAGTAATAAAAAATTAGGCTTAGCCGTACTTAAAAAACTTTTAAATTGTTGATAACTGCACAATTATTGCATGCAGGTTAACTAAAGGCATAAAAATCTTAACCAGAACAACATAAATCAATCATTTTTAAAGCAAAAGTGCACAGTTTACAAACATACAAGAATAAAGAAACTGAGCTTACTGAGTTGAGTAACAGAGTCGATATATATATATATTTATATACTTTTTGTGCGGCCGATTGCAAAAATAATAGGAGGTACACATCTACATGTTAAAGCAGTCTTATATACACAAAATTTCAAAGTTCTGAGGCTACTCGTTTTTGAGTTATGCAAGATACGTACGTACGTACATACGTACAGACGCCACGGGAAAAATCTCTTCAGAATTCATTAAAATCAGTTTTATATTTTTTTATAGGGAAAAGAGTCCTTTATTCTGTCCTTGCGTACGATGTCATGCAAAAACATCGTTAAATTGCATTCAATAGCGGTCAAAATGGATATTTTCGTTAAAATATGATACCCGAAACTTTTGTGCGATTACAATACTTCCTTTTTACTTTGTACAAGGAAGTAAAAAATGTTTCTTCAAATCAAATTTTCAAATAAAAAAAAGCAATTTCTTCAGATTGAGAATTAAAAATCAAGATTTTAAAAAATTTCTTTGTTTCTTTTATTGCCAAATGAATGCAAACCACTGAACTCTGAAACGACTTTGGCTTGAGAATGTTAGTTTCCTTTAAGATGCTGAGCCACTGCTTGCGTGACAATTCTAATTTTCCATAAGGTTTTGAGTTATTGTTTGAGTAATGCGTATTTAAGAAAACTGCAAAACTGTGATAGATTTTTGTTGTTGCAAGAAACTACAAAAGTAGTCTTGTTATCTATAAAATGGAAAACAAATTACTCTCATGGTAGTTTAAAACAGTTGCTCTCAGTCTTTATTGAACCTTTCCAGTTTTCTCATCAACTTTCAGTATGAGAGAGGTATTTATTTGTTTAATTAAATTATGCATTTTAAGTAACCGATAAAACTGAATTTTTAGTTTGGTGTTCTGCAAAGATACATAATAAAATGAAGTTTTATTATACTTGTTAAATGTTTAATTATTTATTAATTATTATTATATTTAATATATACTAAACAGTAAACTTTTCTACGGATCTCACTTCATTTATATGACATCTAATTTATTTTTTAATCCCTTTTGGTTCACATGATTGAAAAAAAAAAAAACCTTAGCTGCTCTTTACTGTGAGCTCTTTATTGCAGTTTGAGTATATCATTTCGAGGTTGTAACATCCATCCTGAAAATGTACAATTTCCAAGCTCTCTTCTTTCGCAGGAGAATTTCCCACCGTTGCAGAACGAAGATGATTTCATGCATTTGAATTTGACATAAAGGATACAGTAAGAACACTGTTAAAAAACAAAGTCTGAAAACAGAATGCAAAATTTAGCAAAATAACTGACAAATACTCTGTTTTGATTCTAGTGAGTTGTATTTTTCAGGTGGAGGTCATTCCTCTTCTTCTTATCCATGGTTGGCCTGGATCTTTTACGGAGTTCTACAAGATTGTTCCTATGTTGACGACCCCAAGATTGGATTACAATTATGTTTTCGAAGTTGTATGCCCTTCCATTCCGGGATTTGGCTTCTCTGAATCACCGACCAAGAAAGGTATCTGTCATTTATCTTTTGCTGTCTGGGACTTTATCTCGTTTAAACAAATTAAAAAAAAATATGGAACAAATTCTTTCTTAATTCTTGTATGATACGCTGTTACCAATTATTGCAACAAAGTCTTCCAGGTTTCAGTTAATCTTATTAGGAGGGATATAGAAATTATTTGCTGTGGATGGGAAGGTTTTTGTTTAGCATAAATAGGTAGAGGAAAGATCAGAAAGTTCTTTTTTAGTGTTCTGTATGGGAGATGTTCCACGTAACTCAGACAGTAGATCAAAATGTCCCAAGCCTGTACTGAATGTAACGATGTTTGAGATAGACGCTATCTCATCACGCGAGAAAAAATTTTGAGTTTTCCTATTATGAAGTCTTCAGTTACCTACTTTTTATTAAAGTGCGACATTTAAAGTCATCTATATTCAAAGTAAGCAGACGCTTTTCTCGTATACAGCAATGAATACAACTGGACATGGTCCAAGAGATGTTAAGTCAGCATCTTGGATTCACAAAATAGGTCTCATTCTTCAATACAACGCCTTGGAAATATATGTTACAAGACGGGCATTACTACCAACTTCCAAATGCACTTGCTATGATGAGCTGTAGCTTGCAATATTCGCAATCTGTTGATAAATTGTGTTTTTAAAGATGTTACTGTCAGGTAGGGCTGATTGAAAATTTCAACTTAATAAAACAGTGCATAGTATTCCCAATTTTTTGCATAAAACCGTAATTAGGATAAATAAATACCCTTTCCTTGTAAACATTATTACACAAAATGTTCCAAAATTTATAATTTGTTCTAGAACAATAAGAATAGTGCACTCGTCACTCTAAAAATAATTCATTTTTATTTTATACCTATATTTTCTTTAGGATTTATTCAGTTGTTCTGCCTAAAATCTTGGCGAAACTGGGAATGAGCAATAGAGTGTTGTAATGCTCATTATATAGCAAAGCTTGTGTAATATTCCTACACACCGTACCAAATTTTAATCTTTTGTGGAAGTGATTTTTTAGTGAATTGGTGATCAATATTGATGTTCCAGAAATGGTTGTCAATGACAAGTGGTTGACATGAAGAAGTTCAATATTCTTCTTGAGTCTTTTTAATCCCTACAATGCAGCAATTTTAAATTTAAGTGGTATTTGAATCCACAAATCTCATTTCACAAAAACAATCCCTTTTTTCTTTGCGTCTGCTTGTCAATGGCATTCTTAGAGATTTAATTTTGCTGCATTTAATTTATGTTAGCTCACACCAAAAGTTTTAATTAGGGAAGATAAATTTTGCTCTCTGTAGTAAATAAAAACTTTCCACTTTCTTATATACGGTATATTGCTTCTTTTAAAATGGTTAAACGTGTTTCAACAAATATTTTAAAATTTAATTTCATGGTATTTTAACATCTATTACTTTTAATGTAAGTTATGTGCTACACCAAATGTAGTGCAATCTTATATTAGAAAAGAAAAAAATGTGTATGACGTGGTCGCATTCAGTTGATCAATATTTACGTTTACATAGGGTTATATATTGCCACACATTTTTTTCATTTCTTTATTCTATTTATATTTGGGATGTAGATTGATGAGTCCGGATTTTCTCCAGCTATTTTCACCAGCAAAATTTTCTTGGAATTGTAAAAAACCAAAGATAATTCGTTTGCCTTTCTGGCATGTTTATTTCCAAAGTTTATACAAACTGTTAACACACACATAAAAACTACTTCAGTATGTAAACAATGAAAAATGTCAAAGTGTTTATTAGTCCAAAGGAGCAATTTGCCTTGAAGGACTATTAATTTCGTTTTAACATTTTGCTTTGGTTGTTCACTATAAATGCCGGTTCACTTTTCAAATTGTTGCTACCAAATATTATCACCCTGTGTTACATTTAAAGAAATTAAATAATGAATAATGTCCATAAATGTATGTATATTTCTCGCATTGGGATGAAACGGGGGTACCTAGAGCCATCAAATTCTGAATAATGTAATTTTCTACCAAATATGGTCATCTGGAAACCTTAAAATTTTTGGAAATTTGTTTTATTATCTATTTTATATTTTTTAACACTGTAACGAATTTTTGATTAACAAACTCAACGTTTTCAAAGAGAGCAATGACAATAAACACTGTACGGGGGAAAAAATATCTCCAACGCGCGAAACTGTGTATCGGAAATTCTAAAGCTTTGCCCATTTTAAAATTATTTTGCGAGATTGCTATTGAATTTAATTTTATGGTTTAAGTGCAAAGAACATGATATTTAATAAATAAAGGTAGCACACAAAACGTTAAAGAAATGCTTCTTTGGGCGTAATGTAAAATATGAAAGCTTTCAGATTTTTATTTATTTTGAAATTATTCTTTTTGGTTGAAGCTAAAAATTGCAACGATTTTTAAAGCATTTTAAAATGGAATCCTAAGACTTTTATTTTCGTAAACGGGTAATATTTTTTTTTTACATTTTTTTTACATTTTAAGTTCCAGTAATGCTGTCAGTAGTATGTTATAAGCCTTATTATTATGATTTCCATTTTGCAAAATGTTTTGATGTTAGTTTTAAAACGATATGAAATGAATGAGCTTTAAGCATGAGGTGCCTGCTTTAATTATTATTTTACAGCTTTGCTTTAGTTTATAAGATTCTAGTTATATTTAGTTGTCTTTGGCAACTAGAATACTTGGGAAGTGTGTAGCGACTATTCGCTGACTTCTAAAATGCTGTAATAACTAAAGAAGAGTTAAAATACCCTTTTAGTTAACTCAAGAATAGTCACACTTGATCCCTCTCGGGCTTCGTAGAAGCCGCCAATTGGGCTTTAACTTAAGATAGAAAATAAGAAACTAAAAATGACTAACTAAAAACTAGCCGAAGCTCTACAGAAATAACTAACTGAGTTGGCCATTAATTAAGCGTCACCGGCGATTACTAGCAGAAGCATAACAATATCGCCGAATATAGTAAGATTTGGCTTAAAGCAACAACGTGGCCAGAGGGCAGAACACGATGTTAACAGGTAGAGCGTGTTCTTTATCTTTCCTTTATCTTTATCTTCTTAGCGCCTTTCTTTATCTTTTAACAGAAGGCAGAACACCCTCTTCTATGGAAGTGACCCAGACTTCCCCTTAAATAATGATTCTACCTCATTTACATAAGACGCGATCCTGAGAACTCATTCTGGCAGGGAATTGTAGGTGGGAAACAAGAGAATGAAGGAAAGCTATTCAAACATTAAAACTGTTGGGAAATTAAAATAATCGTTACAACTTATTATTTCTAGCTTTGACAGTGACATCAGCATCTTGGTTAATACGATTCAGAAAGGAGAAGAGGAAAAAACGTATGTAGCGTGGATGCGCTCGGTTGGTCAATGCTTACGTTTCCAAGCAGTATTTTTGAAAATGGGAGCAATCAAAACAATCTGAGACAGATCGTTGAGCGGTCAAAAACTTATAATTTTTGCCATTACAGGTTCGTTACATAAGTTACAGTTTCATGATTTGGCTAGACAAAGAATCGGTGGTATACTAATACGTCAGAATGTAGAGTTTGATTTGCATATTAAATCTGTGTGTCAGTATAGTACTATGTGGCAAGAGGATACATCTTTTACATCTAAATAAGCATTTTTTTTATTTAGATTTCAATGCGAGAGCAGCTGCGAGAATATTCTTGACCTTGATGGAGCGTTTAGGACACTCTAAATTCTATGTTCAAGGCGGGGACTGGGTATCACACATCGCGTCTCTCATAGCGAGGTACTATCCATCCAGGTAAAGCCTATATTTTTATTAGTTTTTACACATTATTCAATAATACAGTCTCCGGTGTGATTCATATTTCAAATAAATAAATGGTACTGCATAAAGAAAAAAGTCAATGGTATGGGTTACATAGCGTGAAATAGCAGAAATGGAGAAGCAATTCTTTCAAAGATCATGAATTTATGACTGTAGCTCTGGATCCTAACTGATATAATATTTCACTAATGTTTACAAAGGTTTATGAATTAGATTAATGCACTTTTGTCAACATTTTATGTTTATATTGGTACTGTAGACTACACATTTTCTCTGCATTAAAATTACTATTCTGCCAGATTTTTTTTTCCTGTCAGCATTTACTACATGAGTTGAGAAACCAATTGAGGTGCTTGCAAATTATTAAATCTAATTGCTTTCTTAAGAATTTTTTATTTGTATGTTGCCGTTGCACATTACAGATTCTTTCAACATTCAAGTTAAAATTTTACTCGCATAGGTTTCTCATGCGAGTAAAATATTAACTTGATATCATAATATTAACTTTATATATATTGACTTAATCAACTTATAACTTGATAAGTAAAATATTAACTTGATATATATTGACTTAATCAGCATTTGTGTAAGATGAAATGCAAGAGCCTTGCGAATTTTATAAAATCGGAATATCACCTATTGAGAATATAATTTTCTGTTTGTTTCCATAAAAAATGTAACATAATATCGAATTAAAAAATTAAATTTTTGGTTAATTACTTTACGTATAGTCTTTTTTCAATTTAAACATTGTCAAGAAATGTTGCTAAATGGTGTAAAAAACGATACTTTCACTTTCAACTCCTATTTGCCGAATTTGACGAACCACGTAATATCATAGACTTTTTTCAGTTTAAACATTCTAAAAAAAAAGGTTTGACAATTTTTAATTTACCGAAGAATGAGGAAGATACCGTATCGTTTTTCTCGGAAAAGGATATATTGCCTCACAATCGAATATGCGAAAATGTCCACGAAATGAAACTGCATGTAAACAGAAGTATGTGGAGGTGCAACTGGAAAAGTACTTGTAAACAAAAAAATTCGATCCGATAACTGGTTTAGTGATTCAACACTATTTCTAACAGCGCTGCGTTTGATCCACTGTTAGGGAGAGGAACTAACGTTCTGAAGTGGTACGATAAACAGCTGAGCATCTGTCAAAATACCACAATTGACTGGAACAATTTTATGAGAGAGGTTAGTTCGCTAGATTTACTTCGACAACCTAAAGGACGAATAGGTAGCCCTGAAAAAATTGTTGAAATTGACGACAGTTTTTTCGTGCGGCGAAAGAACAATGACATAACGACAAAATTTCCACAGCAGTGGATTCGGCGAGTTATGCCGTGAAAGTGGCAAGTGTTTTCTTGTTCAGGTTCCAAATCGGGAAGCAAGTACACTGATATCAACGATTGCAGACCACACAGTGGAACGGTCGACAATATATTTAGGTTGCTGGTGAGTCTATAAAACAATCGAGTTTGGTAAAGCTAGTTACAGTCATTTAACTTTGAATCACACATTTAATTTTATTGATCCAACAAGGGGCCCTCCCACTCAAATGTGGGAAAATTGTGCTGAAGCTCTTTTAAATGGAGGAAAAAAGCAGTCGTTTCTTTCCGAATTCATGCGGTGGAAATCCTTTGGTAAAGATAAACCTTTTGATGCCATATTAAAATCAATCGCAGAAGTATGGCAGCCACAAAACTACATGCAGTTTAAACTTGGCAATAATCTTGGGGCCATTTTGATAATGGGGGCTATGAAAATCAAGTAGTATCATTATTTTTTTAATTGGAAATCGATTCTGACTTCAGCTGAGGCTTATCACCTTGTCCGCAAAAATCTTTACGATGTTTTTATTTTTGCAATCGTTTGTCAGAGACATATACTTTCCGTTATAAAATATTTTAAATGCCACAAATATTCAGATTTTGGCATTTTAAAATTTACAAAATCGATTTCGGGGAAATAACAAAATCTAACTCTTTATACGGTGTCCCGCTCCCGTTAATTACGGTTAGTAAAGTTTACATTTATTCTAGAACTAAAAAGCAAAACGTTTGATTCCCTTGCGGCACAAATTAACAGACATATTTAATTTCAAAACTTAGGACTTATTTTATCAGTTTTCGTTTAAAGATATATCAGAATAATTCGAGGTTATTTTTTCTTTAACATTTATTTTGTAATTGTCTTTACTAGTACATAACAAATATTTATTAATTTATGCTATTGTAACATTTGGTATGCTGAAAGGATTTCCACTCGTGTAATGTAAAAGCATTTAAGTGCTAAAAATATGTTCTTAAAGATCTCATGCACATTTATTATTTTAGAATCATAATTTAGTAACCATACAAAAGAATTAACAAAAGGCAGAATTTGCACAGAAGGGTCATAATTTCGTTTTGGCTTTTTGTGTGGTTCACTATAAAACGGCATTTCCCTTTTCAAATTGCTGCCACCAAATATTAGAACCCTGCATTATATTTAAAGAAATTAAATAATGAAGAATCTCCATGAATGTATGTATGTTCTTCGCATTATGAAAAAAACAACGTTACCTACAGATATCAAATTTCGAATAACGTAATCCTCCACTAAATATGGGCATCTGGAAGCCCAAATTTGGAATTATCCAGACTGCGTATCGGAAATTCTAAACATATGCTCTTGCTCTTTTTAAATATTTTGTGATATTGCTGTTGAATTGAATTTTAGTTTAAGTGCGAAAAACGTAATATTTAATAAAGGTAACAGAAAAATGTTATAAAACGCCCCTTTGGGCCTAATATAAAATCTGAAAACTTTCAGATTTTTTTTTTTTTTTGTAGTTGTTCATTTATATAAATAATGTTATTTAATGTTATTAGTTGTCATGCACGAGTTGTATGTCTGCATTTCTTTTCTAGAACACCAATGCTGTAAAATTAGATTTTTACGACTAATTTAGTTTTACGACTAATTTTTACGACGTAATTAGATTTTTACGACTTTTTACGACTACGAGTTGTCATGCACGAGTTGTATGTCTGCATTTCTTTTCTAGAACACCAATGCTGTAAAATTAGATTTTTACGACTAAAACTAGATATTTTCGAAAAAAAAAAAAAAAACTACGTTGATCATTACATTTCATGATATTTTGAATTTCAATGTTCGTCATTTGACCATAAAATATCAATTTTTAATTTATATATGACTCCTGTATATAGGATGAAGCGTTGAAACTAAATGCGTGGCCAATTTTGGTCACAAAATTCAAATGAGGATTATAAAAAGTTGGAGTTCGTAGTTTTTACAAAACTGACATTTTAAAATTTAAAAATATGAATATTTGTATTATTTAAAACATTTTTTAATAACTGGAAGTACATCCTAACGGCTGGCAAAAGGCGACCACACAAGGACGTTTGTGGGCATGGTGTGTAAAATAATAATAAATCTGAATAAGGAATGAATATGTAAAAAAGATCCGATATCTATAAAGTAGGATATCTGTATAGTTTGCAAAGCTACCAGTCAATTACATGTAAAAAACTGAAATTTTTAATTTTATATTTCATTTTACTTGTATATTTCTCATTGACCCTTTTTTTTTTTTTTTTTTTTTTTTTTTTTTTTCTTGTCGGGGTACTGGGCTTACATGTCAACTGTTATTTCTTCTTACCCCAGTCTTGGGACTTTATAAAGGGGCTACTGATTTCCATCTTTCCCTTCCTCATAAGTTCCGTCGAGTATAAGACAGTATTTCCTCTTAGAAAGCTGCTAAAAGATTTGTATGAAGAAGTTGGATACTTCCACATGCATAGCACCAAGCCAAACACTTTAGGTAGAATATTATAACACAGATTTTTAGTTTTATCTGCAAAATAAACGCACGGTAACTTTGATAGTTTTGCTACTAAATTTATAAATGTTCTCTTTTTTATAAGAAATCTATTATTACTGACTTGTACGTTGGGAAAAGTAAAATGAGATAAATATATTTCAGCATCTTGTGAGTTGAATTGGATTATTTCAATTATTGCCATATGAATTATTAGTGATACATGAGAGCCCTTTTTTCCATTGTCCATTGTGCTATTGATCAAGAGCATTCCGAGGAAGAGAATCTGATAGTCGCATATTGGTTTATTACTACTATTTGAAAAAAAAAAAAAAAAAAAAAAAAAAAAACTCTCCAATTATTTCATTAAACATCAGTCCTTTTTTAATTATGCTCACTAACTTTTTCTTTCGCTATGGGAATAACACTTTTGGTATGCGTCATCACTTCGATTTTCTGTTATCAGTTTAAACATTACTGTGCTAACGATATAAGGCATTTCCTCCCTCCTTACTACATGCCTTCATGATGTAGCGGTAGCACACTCGGCGCGTAATCGAGAGGTCTAGGTTCAAGTCCCGGCGAGGGCATTGCACTATTTTCATGTCTGTTGCATTAAAAAAAATCGTAATGATAACGAGTCTCTGAAAAAGGTCATAAAAACTAAAAACATTTAGCTATTTAATCCTTTGACTGCTATGGGCTCATATGTGCGTCCAGCAAAAACCATCGGTGTGGCCTATGGGCGCGTGTGCATCTGGCGCAAGCCATCGATGTAGACGCAAATGCCCACTCGGCGAAGGCTTCGGCTGTTTACTGCCATCTCATGTGTATGTTCAGATATTATTTCTATCGTACATGTCCAACACTCGCAGAAACCTTATACCTTGCTAGTCGCTTAGCGACGAGGAAAAATGAAATCTCATTTATTTGGTCAGTCATTCTGCGGCCGCTCGTTGCTCACACGAAGCGGCTCAACTAAAAGCAATTAGCAGTCAAAGGTTTAATTAAACTACTTGCACCTAGCTGCTAGCATTTAGAAATTTACTCTATAATGCTTACCAATGTTATGCCGCTCCTTAATGCTTACCGTGGATGCAAGCAACAAATTTGGTGAGCAGCTTAAAATGTGATGGTT